TCGAGATGATTGAATTGAGGTGTTTTGGAAACAATATCTTCTGGTGAATTTTTGAGGCGCAAGGTGCGCCATAATTTGATTTTTTAGAGCCTCGCCCTTATATATAAAAAAAAGAGCATTGGGTTCGGAGCCATGCGTCAGAGAAGTTTAGCTTCAATTGGTTTGGAATCAATTTAGGTTTGGTTAGCATTATTCTAGTGATACTAATACATATTATATTATCATATCATGTGTTGTATTCAAAACCTTTTACTTTTAATACAAAGAGGTCACAATCATTCTTGTCCAATAGATTTTAAAGCCTGTGGTTATAAGCGTATCATTGACTAAATTAAAAAAAAAAAAATATCAAACTTTGTGACACACTCGAAGCCATCCAATTTGATATCTAATGACTAGGAGTGATTGTGACCTCCTTGTGACATGGTAAATGGTTTCATAATATATAATTCGATATATATAATACATACAACATACACATGTCATGTGATTTATGTTCCCTTGGGTATAATTTACTTCAACTAAAAATCATATATAGAATTTTTAGAAAATAAAAAGTTTTTTATGTTAAAAATATTCAATCGCAATTAAAAACAGATCCTTAAATTTTAGATCTAAAAAATGCCTAACAATTACAAGGGCATTTTATACAACTTTTCTCAACAAAAAAAGCGTAGAATTTATTGTCAAACCACGTGCCCATAAAGTAATAATAAACAATTAATTTATACTTTTTACAAAATAACCACTACATTAACACAAAATGATAACAAATTTATATGGGGTTGCAAGATTATACTATTGAAGTAAGGTGCACCTAAAAAATCCTACAAAAGAGAGTGTTTCAGTATTGGACAACCCTTTAATTAATTATCTAGACTTCGAGATGTATAGACATGAGAGAAATAAGAATTTCAAGTCCAAAATATAATGCATCTTGTAACAAGTTATTTAGACTGTCTAATTTTAAGATTTTCACGTGCTTATAGATTTGCTCTATCTGTTTTTTTCAAAATTTAAATTTTATTGCCTGTGATGGAAATAGATTTTCAAGTCATTATTATGTTTTGGAACTAGAACAATACCCCTAAGTAAATTTTAAAGGTGCACCCTACTTCTACAATTTAAGGAGGCAATCTTATACAAACATCACCCTTGTATATATATAGAAAAAATTATATAACGTTGCAACCTTATAGTATAGAAGTAAGGTGCACCTAAAAAATCAATGCAAAAGAGTGTTTTAAAGTAGGAAAACATTACAATCGATCATCACAACCTTGAGATTCATGAATATAAAGTAAAAATAAACTTTAAGTCCTAAAAATATTCCACCTTGTAGCAAGTTATCTGGATAATTTATTTTCAATATTTATAGATTTGCTCAATCTGCTTCGTTTTCAAAATTCTGAATCATATTCTGGCCAGTTGTTTATCCCAAATTTTTAATATAGGGTCTTTTCATTCAAATGAGCAATTACAAAAGAAGGCAAAAATGTGAAAACACACCCGAAAAAATGTTTTCTAGCCTAACTAACTTAGGTTGTCCATTTTAGTGAGATGCTTAGATCAAAGCCTTAGAAAGATATGTCTCCTTTTCAATTTTTTTTGTAACTTTATTCTTATTAGATTAACAATGTTAAAAAAAGAAAAATTGATTTTAATTCTGTAAAGGCATAGATCTTGAAATTCACCAAATGAATGGTCTATATTCATTGTTAGAGGGGATTTGTTTTGATTATGTCTAGGGTGCAAATAAAGTTTTATCTTATTTAGATTCATTGTTCGGATGAAGAGAGTGTGTGCAGCTTTTGGGGTCGTACAAATGCCACAAACATTATTTTATAAGAGTGTGGTTTCATTATATTAGAGTGATATAATGACATGAAATCATTACACACACACAAACACACACACACACGCACACACACACACACATATACACCCCAAAATACAAAGATTAATAACAGAATGGGTTGTGATGGGCCTATTTATAAAAATATTATTTTTTATTTAAAAAATATTTGTATTGCTAACTTAATCATTAAGAAAGAGTAAATTTGAAATTTTTACAATAGTACAATGAAAGTTAGTATCTTGAAATTTTACTCGTACAATACCATGTCCTTTAGAAAAAATTCCAACTTTTTTTTTTAAACATTACTAAAAATGTAAACTTTTTCGGTTATTAAGATGACAATGTTATACATTATTACTTGATAGGTAGAAATAACTTCTTTTAAAAAAGAAATTATATAATTATTAAATCCATCTTTCACAACCCATCCTAATGTTAACCTTTTTATTTTTAAGGATTTTGAATTGTTATAATTGACACTCTACTTCTTAGTAGGGGCCATGCTTGTCTTATCAAAGTCTACTCAATACAAAGCTCTGGATTCTCATGTTATAATAAATTACAGGTGCACCCTTGAGGACATGCACTCTAGTAGATGTAGGGGATTCTCTCTTGATATCTATGTATTTCTCTTTCATGTAGATTGACTATAAAATAACAGCTTCCTATATGTTGTTGTATATACACATGTCATTGGAAGATTCAAGGTGAGGAATTTGGGCTTATATTATCTAAAAAGCTTAACATTTTTCATAGAGGGTCATATCTCTTAATTACTTGAACTTGTATCATAAAAACTATAGGTTTTTCACGTCACCCTAGCCATCATACTACCACGAGGCATAAAACAATCTGACCTCGACTTGAGGTAACCCTCAATTCTCTCGATATGGTGCCTCTCACACTCAAGCCTCATGACAAGGCGTTTGTGATTCTTGGTGCTAGTTTGCCAAGATCATTGAGTCACTTCGCTCTTGCTCACTCCCACTGTGAGCAGATGCCATAAAAATGTTGTTGTCAAGGACTTGAAAAGCCATAATTCCAATGTAATGAAGTTACATACTTGTAACTTACCAATAATCGACCATTATCACATCCAAAAGCACCAATTGTCCCTTTGGACGCACCAATGGTACTTTAGATACCGATGTGAAGTATGTCTCCAACGAGGAACAAATTTTTTTATTATGTTTATAGAACAAAGGATAGAAAAACATGTCCAGAACTTTGTGTGGGACTAAAAACCCCTGTTCTTATGAAGGGAAGTTACTTTTTTGCCAGATATCCCTATGCAAAATCATTAGACCGTTCAAATGATCCCAATTAACATTTGATACGTTGCTTTTCTATTTTATTTTTTTTAGATACCCTAAAAAATATTAAAAATTTCAAAATTACCTTTTTTCAGGATTGAAAAGTAATAACTCTAAGGGGCATTCTAGTAATTTAAGTCCTAAGAGGCGATGAAAATAATAAAGAAACAAATTGGTCACAATTGCCTGATGACCATGTAACAAGGTGAAAGTGCCCGACTTTCATCCTTACTGTACACTTCAAATGTGTTGGAAACGATGTAAAGGGACGAAAGTCACATGTTTGGAAACGATGTATAGGGATGAAAGTCACTTTTACCCTTGCTGTACATTTCACAGGTTTGGAAACGATGTAAAGGGATGAAAGTCGAAACACCCATTTCCCCCTTTTCGATGTTCCTCCTAAATAATTGTCTGTGCATGGGGTGGGGTGTGCGGGATTTTTCACTGAAAATTTGAGTGCATTTTTTCACGTCGTCTCTGTCATCCTGTGAGAGTAGTAAGGGCATATATCCTTTGTCGTTAGTTTTCTTTCACGTGTCTCTCACCCTGTGAGAGTAAGGGCATATATCCTTTGTCGTTAGAGTTTCCTCCACAACGCTGTGCCTTCTCTTTTTTTTGGGTGAGTAAGAAGGGAGAGGGCCCCTTACCCTTGCAAGCAAAGGTATATTTCCTTTGTCATTAGAGTTTTCCTCCATAACGTCGTGCCTTCTCTTTTTTTTGGGTGAGTAAGTAGGGAGAGGGCCCGTACCTTAGGTAAGAATTGAGTTTAGGACATAGCGTTGCAAATCATCAGGTCTTAACCAATTAAGCCTATGCTTTTTTCCTAAAAAAAACTCTTCCTTTTACAATGCTATGTTTTTTAGGTGGGTCAGTGGCAGTGTTAGCAAAATTGAACTAGAACAGTTAACCAGACATGGGCCTAGAAGCAGTTCAACTAGACTAACCGGTTAACCGACCGATTCAACCTTTCTAACAGAACAAGTCTCGAGCGGTTAAAAAAGTGTTAAAAAAAATAACAAATACAGAAAAAATCTAATGAAATATGGAAAGTGTATTTTAAGAACTATTAAACAAAGCACATCCAAATGGTTGAAAATTAATGAAAAAAGATTTTTTAAAAAATCGATTTGTACTTAAGGGTATTTTTTAATTTTTCTAAAACGAGATGGAAAAATGTACAAACAAAAATTAATGACCAAAATAATTTCCACCCTTTATCATGATAACAAAAAGTATTAAAAAAAGGGTGTGGTTTCTATAAGGTTGCAACCTGAAACAATCCAATTAAGGCACACCTTAAAATTTTATTATAACATGTAATTTTGTTGTAAAAGATACAAAATCTATTTTCATACCTAACTAGAAAATTTTAAATTTCAAAAATGGTTAAAATTAAGTAACATATGAAAATCTTGAAAATGGACGGTCTAGATAATATATCGTAAAATACACTATTTTCGGGACTCAAAAATATTTTTTTTTCATATTCATGTATCTGAATGTCGAGATGATCAACTAGAGGGTTTTTTTCAACATTAAAACAACATTTCCAATAGATTATTGAAGTGCATATGTGATTATATATTTTAAGGTTGCAACCTTATATAAACTTTTCTCTTAAAAAAATACATTACAAACAAAATCAATTATTTTTTATATTTTTTTGAAATTTTTTTTAAAACACCCAATCGATCTTAACAGGACGGTTAACCGTTACATCGCCCCGTTTCTCCAACAGACGTTAGTGGGGAGAGGGCCCCTGCGCTTTGTAGGAGTTGAGCGTACGGCGCAGCGTTACGAATCGTCGAGCGCTGACCAATTAAGGCCCCGCTCTTTTCCTCGCGACTTCTTTATATGCCCTTTTCTTTGTCGCTCCGACCCCTCTACCAGTGAGGCGGAGCTCGAACTACCTCCTTCACCATAAATGGTATGAGCTTCTCTGCTCTTTTCTCTTCATGCTTTTCTCTAAAGCCTAAGTTTATTTGAACCAGAGCTTCTTGTTTTTTTTATTTTTTATTTTTAATGTGAACCAGAGTTTCTTGCTGTTTTGTTTCTCTATTGAATCTGTATTTTTAGGGTTTAAGAACTACATCGAGGGTGTATTTCGTTCAGTAAACTATTCAATGGATTTGGAAACCTCATCTCTGTGTGATTTTCATTTTACTTCCATTTTTTTATTTTTTTAAAGTACTGGTCAATATTCTGGAATTTGATGCGATACAGCTTTAGATCTGGATTTTTTTTTCTTTTTCTCCTTTTTTTTTCTCTTAGATACGAGGAATTAGATTATTCACTGAGAACGGTATCGTCTGAAAATGGAGGATTTCTCTTTTTTCATCATTGGGTTGCCCGTGGAATTGAATTCTGTGTGATCTCTGATGCCCCACCACAGTGCTACTGCTTCGGCCTTGCTGAAATCAATGCTCTCTGTTGATCATTGCCGATGTGGTTGGCTTTCAGAAGGTACATTCTTAGATGGATTCCTTGTATTTGTGCTAGCTGTCCAATAAGAGTCCAATCCTCTCATTGTCATGAAAGAGAAAAAGTTAGTGCCGATCCATTCATGTATATTTGGTCATGGATTTCTTGTTTATTGCTATTTAAGTGTTCTCTCTTTCTTTTTGTAACCTGATTGTTTGTGTGAAATGTGGTTTCTTGCTTGCTTAAAATGAATGAGACCATTATAAAATTTTGAGAAAATCTGTTCAGCCCCATTGATGCCATCAGAGCCCATACACAAAATGAACCTCTTGTTTTAGGATTTCTGAATGGTATTTCAATACACAGGGTTCAGAATGTACAAGGCTACAAGCAACCTTGTGACACTAGTAGAACCTAGAGATTTAAAAAGTCACAAAACTACTAGTAAGGTATGACTTTGTATATCAGTAGAACACTAAAATTATAGACAGAGTGAACACAAGAAAAGTATAACACTGCTAAAAATTTTAGAAGTAAGTTTCACCGCACCAAACTGCTCTAATAATGTGGGCCCCAAATATCAACCAAACACCTGATTATGTGGGCCTGGAGTATCAATTCATGCTGTCCTTGACTTGTACACCATTTGCACCCCCTAAGGGTTTGATGGTGTCCATTCAATGACCTTTCTTTCCCCACCCCATGTGACGCCTGCTCTTGACCTAGATAATTATTATGCCTAAATGAAGCTCTAAAAACTTTGACTCCCGCCACAATGGCTCAGGAGGTCTTGGATTTTAAAAACCTGTATATTAAAAAATTGAAAAACTCATTGGAGATTTGAAGGACCTAGCAATTATTGTGTTGGAATGAGGGGAGCCTCGAGTCTTGAGCAAGACAAACATCACTTGCTTGGTCTGGCACTATACAGTCACAATGTCTAGTTGCAAACACGTATGTAAGCCCTAAAGAGGCCTAGTGTTTCATGTTCTACACTTCTACTCATTTGAAGATTAAAAAAAGCCCTAAAAAATCATAGATGAAGAGGACTTGGATTTGGAAGTTCTTTTTCAAATGGACATTTTTGAGCATTGGATATTCTGATTCAAAAACCAGGAACTCTGAAGATTTAGGAAGGAGTTTTTTTTGGGAATTTTAGTTGAGTTTTTGATTTATCGAAACTAAGAACTAATGTTTTAAAGCTTGCCTTGGTAAAGGTATTTGCCCCTTGGCCGAGGTGAGTAACTCGGTTGAGTCTGAGTGGACTCGGCCGAGTTACGTACACCCCTAAAATAAAAAAGTCAAAATAAGTAATAAATTTGTCAAAAATAATTGAAATCAGAAATATTAAAGGAAATAATAGAAATCATTAGAAGACTAAAGTAGAGGAAAAAAGATCTATAAAAGATAGATTCTTGAAATTTTCTTTTTGGGATCCTAAGTTTTGAAGCCCCTATTCATTCTAGACCACTTTTAGGAACCAATTTCAATATCCAATTTCCCGAAAGTTCTTTCAAGAAAATAAAAAGGCAAGCGGGCAAATCAACCAGCAGTATGATACCGGCCCCAACTCTAGGTTCCGGTGTCTTGGGCCAATTGGCCCGCTCAAGTAAAGAAATCTTCCTTTCCTAGTTTTATTTTCATTGAATTGCTTTACAACTAATTGTTTTGTATCGAACGAGTTGTCGGTGCTGCCGAAGTTCTGTAGAGAAATTGGTCACTTAAGATTAATTTCTCTCTAGATAGCAATTCAGTTGGCCCCTAGAAAACTTACTGAGTATAAGTTTTATCTAATTTAGAACATAAAATTAGAGGGGTTTTACCCGTAATCTTCTTGCGTTTTGGTTGTGATCACTTGAATATTACAGAAAAATGGAGAAAAATGAGAGAGTATGAAAGTCTTATTATGAAAAAGAAAAAAAAAATAAAAAAAATGAGAGAGTATGAAAGTCCAGAAATCATCTTAAAAACTATTGAAATCGTTGAAAAACATTTTTCTAATTAATATATTGGTGTTTATCAATATTTTGTACGTTTTTAGCATTTTAAATATTTAATGTCTTTTTTTGGTGTTATGTTAGTTTCCCCGGAGCTTACCGCAACTCGGCCTTGGCCATAGGCCGAGGCCGAGTTATGTGACTGAGTACGAGTGCACTCGGCGAGTCCTGCTATACTGCTCAGAACATTTCCAGTGTTTGGATAAGATTTTGACCGCCATTTGTGACATTGGCGGTATTGTGGGGAATGAAATGTTGATTTTGTTGTAATGTGGTATATTGTGCTTAATAGTAATTGAATTTTAGAAATCTTGGGAGCATCCAAAGATGAACTTTCTAATAAAATGTATTGCATGAATGGATTATCAAAAGAAACATTCTTTGGAAATTCTTTTAACTCCTATCTAGATATAGTTTCATTTATTTATTTTTGGTCATCTCATTCTTTCCTTTTTATTTTTTAGGAATCTTGTTACTTTTTTTCTACTTTTCGTAAGTTTCAAACAACTTCCTCAGTATTCGTTGACTTGCCTGGCACAAGTCCTATGAACTCTAGATTTTGATAATTTTCTTTATCTCATTTTATTCTTTATTACCAAATAATTCCTCAATTTATTTGTAAATGAAAAATACCTCAGTTTATTCTAATTTGCCAAACGCACCGAATTATGAGAAGCAAACTAATTGAACTTGATCTAATCCACTTGTCGAATGCTCGTATCTAGCAAAATAATTCAAAAGTAATGAATAAGAATAAGGATTGTTCATCCAGTGAGTTGGTTAACACTGTGAAACACTATTGTTTTTGATTTGCCAATTGGGAAAATTCTACCATGTTTTGGATGTGTTTCTAGACGATATCGATAATCGATTTAGTTGTTTGAACAAAATCCATTAATCATTGAGTTTGACTTTGTTTTGATCAATTCATCTAGGCTGAATAAGTCATGGAGTTCAAGTTTCCGAATGTTGGTTTTAAATGGTTAACAGTTACCTTTTTTGTCTATTTTTTAGTTAAAACAATGTACTTTATTTTTAGAATTATAAATCTTGAACTGGGAAAATTATGCTTCAGTGCATTCCTTCAATGGCTTTTCAAAATGCAACACCAATTCCCCTATAATGAAAGAGCCCTTGGCTTCTTTCCATCTCTATTGTGCTTTCCATGACATAGTGGCGCCGATCACTTCCGGTTTCCTAACTTGGGGTGCGGGAAATGTACTCTTAATATTTGGGATCATTTTTATGTTGTTATGATGAACACTAATGCAACTTAATTCCCTCACTGGGGATATAGGCTCTGGTCCTTTTACTGTGGATCTTTGCGTATAAATTGATCCAATGCTCCTTTAGTGCAAATATATAGTGCATTCCTCATGTTCCTAGTTATAGGAATGTGTCTTAGTAAGGAAGATGATGGCGAAGATGATGTGTGGCTGTGTGTGTGTGTGTGTGTGAGAGAGAGAGAGAGAGAGAGAGAGAGAGAGAGAGAGAGAGAGAGAGCATCACGCGTCGTACTAACTAACTACTACTTAATTAACTTTAGTTACGTACGTAGTGTAATACAATACTAGTAGTTAAGTTAGTAGTACTTAGT